GCTAATTAACTAATATTATACCATTATATATTTTCACGGAGTCGCCCATCCTGATCAATTGAAGGGGTTAGCTCTAGACGATGATGGACGAGATTGTGTTGCTACTACTAATGTCGTCTACAAAGAGGTTTCAACAATGTGTAAATAAAATCGTTGATATTATGTTTTTTAAATGACAAAATTGCTATATGTATAGACAAAAAAAAAAATATCCTCCATACAAATGAATTAAGATAACAATTCATTCATATAACTGAGTTGCTAGAGAACGAACATATTTGTCTAATTTATAAAAAAAAATACTAAACAATGATAAATAAAATCTCCAAAGTTATAACACTACATACATACATCTACACATTAGCTATTAATTTGAGCAATTATTTGCTTAAATTCGAATGATCCAACCCGTATATCCAATTGAACTATATAATATTTGATGTTCTAATTTAAATAATTATATATCAATCCAAATATTCTTAATATATTACAACAAATCTATTTCGTGCATTGCACGGGCGCAAATACTAGTAGGGATCTAAAATAATCATCCAATAAAATATTCACTAGAGGACCAATGATCTCCTCCCATCCTCTACTCATAGTGTATATCTGTTTCATAACATCATCATACCTATAATATAAGTCACAAACACTTATATGTCATTTAAAAGTAAACAAATACTAATATTATTTAACAATAAACAAAAAAAAAATTTGAATTGTTTAAATAGCCTCCGTGTTCAATTAAGTTACTATAATTTATATTATCAACATAAATACTCTATCAGGGGATGTAAAGAACCCTTGAGGTTGAAAATTCTACATTTTGAAAAAAATTTCCTTTAACCACGTAATTAATTACCAATTAAAGATTTGAGAGTCAATGGACAATTTACATTAAAAATTAACCGACTTCAAAAACCCAAAAAATAAAAAGAAGGTAAATCCACGAGGCAGAATATTAGCCTCAACAGCATTACAAAATTTGCCGATCGGGCCCCACAAATAAAATTTCTTTCCAGAATTTCACCCGTGCATATTTTATTATTATAATCATTTTATAATCTCTCAAGTCTTTCATCAAAGTAATCATTACGTTTTCATTCACGATTTCTGCGAATGCGCTTGTGGGCATTTCTAGATAAACCCCTTTCCTTTTCTACAGCGACGAACTGGGAAAATCATCATTGAATTCCGAGACTTTAACCGAGTGGTTTGCTGTAAAATCAGCGAAAGAAGGAATAGTTCCCAAGAAAAGGAAAAGGGGAGGGGAAAGAAAGGTTAGTTGAAGCTTTTTAGTGGAGTATTAGTATACTCGCATATATTTTTGTTTGCTATGATGAGATCATAAGTATTTGTTGGGTTGTTAAGTTGTCAATCATTTCTTGACAATGTGACAATACACTATTGAAAATTATGGACTTCCTAACCAGCTGAAAGTGATCTTAAATTAAGTCGAAAGTAAAAAGTGGTCGGAAATAGCAACAAAGGTTTTTCCGGATATCAAAAGTGGTCGGAACAAGACTTTCAACTTGATTTAAGATCACTTTCAGGTGGTCGGAAATTTCATAATTTCCAGCAGTGATACCTTCAATGAACTCTATTTGTAAGTGGTGTATCTAGATATAGGCTCTGTTTGGTAAAAAATTGTCTTATAGGCCAATTTTAGCTTATTTGACCACTATTAATTGTTTGATTTAGTTAAAATATCAATAGAAATGTTTGGTTAATTAGCTTTTTGCAACTCCAAAAGGCTAAAATTCAAAAAGTTACTCCAAGCAACTTTTTCAATTAGCTTTTTGAGAAAAGAAATTATACCAAACAGCTATCAGCTAACAGCTAATTTACCAAACACTTTTCTACAATCAGCTAATGTTATCAACTATTTATACCCTCTAATTAACACTACTAACAACTATCAACTAACAGTCATTTTACCAAACATGCCATAAACCTTCTTTGTGGTTTATCTTATCCCTGTATCTAGATGATGAATTGCTCATAGTGATATCAAAGAGCCTCTTTAAGTGTTCTCACCTTCTCCCTCTTCCTTGTTACGTCTTTGTTGCTGGGAAAACATATACTCTACCTGGTAATCATGTTTGAATGTTTTGACAGTCAGCTGCCCCAACTGGTGTTCAAATGTTTGCTTCTTTCTTCTTTTTCGTTGATTTATTTTGTGTCTTAGATTTCACTTCTTGCCACACACAATATCCTCTATTTTTCCAAGTTAGTTAGTGAACGGATCACATTCCTGTGTCTTGAACTATATATGCTCTGATCTAATCCATGCTGCTACTTAGCTAAATTAATAATTTTTTAAATAATTATGTCATGTCATTTACTATAAAAGGTCCTCAATACCACAAATCGGATAAAAAAATGAATATATAAACTTTTTATCAAGATAAAGCTTAGACCCTTATATATATATAGAGAGAGAAATAAATAAATATATCATTCAATTAACCTAGTTCAAATTAAGTGTTGGAAAAATAGCATTAAAATGGTTTATTAACCTAGTTCAAATTAAGTGTTCCAACTAGAGATGACTTCGAAAAGGCTTGATTCAAGCCCGAGCTCGTGTGCGCCGGCACCTACGGGCACGAAAGTCGTCCGGAAATTGACTGGCCTTAATTTTCCAACAGAATAGCCACTTGGGTTCGGCCTCACAGGCTGAATCGAGGCCACCCAACAGAATAGCCACTTGGGTTCGGCCTCAGACAGTCTGCCATGGGATTCAATTCTATCGTTACGAAATTAATTTTTTCAATTAATTCCAATTCATTTTTGAATTTAAATCCCATGGGATGCCTTGCGGTTTCAGGTGTTACAAAGTCAAGTTTAATGGCCATGATCAATGCTATTAAAGTACTACATCCCTATATAAGAAGGGGTAGAGGGAGCAGATTTTAAAAGCACGAAGTGGCAGAACACACAACACGAAATCATATTTTTCCAGCTTCAAAAACTCTGCTTCTACTCCTTTCTTTGCCTAGCTGTGTTCAAGCCTTTGCTTTAGTTCGCTGGGTTCGCTCGTTTGGGTGCTCAAACGTCGAACCGTAGCGCGTTTTATCCTGGGAAACCTAGACCACGACACTCCTAGCACTTGTGGGAGGTGGAAAATAAGGTTTTAAGGAAAGAGTGGTCTCTTGACTCACGCTAAAAACCCTTACCCAACACGAGCCATCATTTCCTTCTTTCGGTCTGGATTATGCTTCTAAGCAAAAATCCTCCCTTCTTTTGATATATTCGTTGGATTGGACTTATAATCTGAGGATTATTAGTTCGAATTTTGGTTGATATATATTGGTATATCGTTTTCGTAGATATACATGTATATATAACCTTTGGGTCCGTTTTATATATTTGTGTGTATATATATATTTCGGAAAAATATTCAATAATATTTTATATAATCGTGTGTGTATATATAAATATTATTTTTGGGATATTAAATCGATTGTGGTTCATTATCACCAACATTAAGTACATCTAAAATAATACTACGAGGAATGGAGTACAACATTCCATAAACGGAATGCTTTAAAAAGACCCTCCATGCATAATATTTTTATTTTTAAAGAAATTTCAAACTCTCATGAAAAGCGCGACAATATGCTCCTATATCCCAAGAAATTTCATATATTGTTGCTGGGAGTCGAACCTAAATTTTTTTTTTTAAAGGGGAGATGCGCATTTTTAATAAAACCACATCGTTTTTGCATCCGTATGCACCATGCATGGTGCATACGGATGCACAACATAATTTGCTTACATCAAATGGATGGTAATTTGCCTGGATCAATCATTATCATATGGACCATGGTCCACATAGTTGTTTAGACCATAAATAAAAAGGTACATTTTTAATATACTAAAAGTACATTATTTATGTACATAAAGTACATTTTTTAAAAATATATTATTTGAATACTGAAAGTACATTATTTTGTATACACTATCAAATAATGTACCTTTAATATACAAATAATATATTTTTAATATATTAAAAATGTACCATATTCATGATCCAATCAATAATTTGCCTAGATGGGATACCCCTCTCCGTAATTTTCCTCACTCTTGGAATCCCAAAATAATCATCTGTGCAAATTTTGAATAGGCTTTGAGGAAGCTCAGTTGTTATATTATAGACCGCGGTGCATAATCGATTATGCACCGCGGCCCATATACGGCGCCGTTTCTTTACTTAAAGAAATGGCTCGCCGTTAGAGTTAACGGAGTCCGTTTGTTTGGTGTATTAAACATCAACTGACACTACAGTATATCCAAACCGACACTGCAGTTATATCAAAATGATACTATAGTTATAGTGAAATGAAACTGCAGTGTATATAAACTGAAACTGAATAACATTTCACATATTTGAGTGTATATTGTACAATGAAGCTGTAATTATATCAAAATGATCATGTAGTTGTGTTTTAATAAAACTATAATGTATATAAAATAAAATTAAATAGCATTTTCATATATTTGAGTCTATAAAATATCGAATGAAACTATAGTTATATCGAAATGAAACTGTAATTGTGTTCAACTGAAACTGCAGTGTATACAAAATGACACTGAATAACAGAGTTACTTTTCGTAAAAGGGTGCGAAACGGCGAAAATAAACACGGTTAATTTTCATTTAAAAAAAAACGCGCGGTGCATAATCGATTATGCACCGCGGTGCATAATATAATTTGCCGAGGAAGCTCAAACAATTCCACCCACCAATGTTACATTGAAATCGGTTATTGGTAGACATTAACATTGACAATTTTGCTATTGTCAAAACAGTAATTTATCAGCTTTTAAATTTTCTGAATATGGAATGATATTGTTAACAAAAAATGGAACATTAATAAAAATAATGTACATAATATGGTCCAATTATTATTCAATTACTAAATTAGAAATTTCCTCTTAAATACATCGTAAGTTCTATGACATTGTAAATAGTTTTCGTCTTTCAAAAAGATTGAATCCCCAACCCTGATTCGACAGAATATTTAGAAAGATGTAAATCACGGTGACTCAATAACTCAATAGACAAAGCCAAATGCCGGTCTGTCCACTTTGGACATAATCCTCATATTATCACCGTCGAGGTTCGAACCTTGACCTTTTCTCCCAAATACTGCCTACTGAAACATTGAGCTAAACTCCTGTGGGCAGTGTTTATAGAAAACAAAAAATCACATTAATAACATATCTTCTAGTAAATGGGGTAATAAATCAGAGGCCAACTTTTCTGAGACTAGGTTCAACCCTTCTCCACTGCAAAACCAAGTTTAAAAACCACACCAAACAACATAAATCCACTATCTTTGCAGCAATCCATCCCTGAACCAAGAAAAAGTGACAATGTCATCCAAACACCATCAGTCTAAGAGCCACAAGCTCATCATCTTCATCATCTTCCTTTTCATCTTTCTCTGTATAATGAGACAAAGGCTCTCAGATTCCATCCCGCAAAGCCAATGGCATGATCCCCAACCACAATTGGAGAAAATCCCACCCTCTCTAGCCGATGCACTTGTCCACTACGCTACAGCAAACAGGACTCCCCAGCAAACCTTACAGGAAATCTCCCTCACCAAAACAATCCTCCAGAACAGATCACCCTGCAACTTCCTGGTCTTCGGGCTTGGATTCGACAGCTTGTTGTGGAAATCCCTGAATCACAACGGGCGCACTGTCTTCCTGGAAGAGGATAGCGATTGGATAGAGCGCGTGAAAAGGATGGGGCTTTCTTTAGAAATCTACCATGTAGAGTACGATACTCAAGTTCAGGAAGCTGTGGAGTTGCTGGAGAACGGGAAGGAGGATGAAGAGTGCAAGAAGGTGAGGGATCCGAGATCTTCCAATTGCAGACTGGCACACAAGAATCTGCCCAAGGAAGTGTACGAGACCGAATGGGATTTGATCATGGTGGATGCGCCCAAGAGCTGGTCTAAAGAACTGCCTGGAAGAATGACGGTGATTTACACGGTTGGGTTGATGGCAAAGAACAGATCACCCGGGGCCAAAACTGATATCTTTGTGCACGATGCTGATAGGTGGGTGGACAACAAATTTTCGAGGGCCTTTCTCTGTGAGGGATACATGAAGGGGCAAGTTGGGATGCTTAGGCACTTCACTATCCTCAGTCACAGGACTTCCTCCAATCTACCATTTTGTCCATAGCACCTGCAACATATCATAAAAACTCTCATCGTCCAAAGACATCACAAAAATGTTTCACACTTGTTCCTAAGAAGCATAGGATATTTATTTCTTTTAATTTCTTCGTTTTACCCTGGATTTTAATATCAATTTGTGTTCCATGTTTTCTGTATTATTTAATGTGTTGATTGATATGAATTGCAATACATATATATATGATCAAATGCAGTCATGCCATTTAAGATGTTATGAGATCAATACCTTTTCTTCCATCCTGCCTAATGTGACGAGGCATAAGATGATCTTCAACAATAATAAAGATTCTGCAGAAGTAATGTTTAGAGGAAATACAGTTCTTATGATATGTCTTCAAACAAGATAAAGAACTCATAAGTTTCGATGTGAAATTCAATCAGAAAAGGCCTAAATGAAATGTAATCTTTTGCTTTTCATATTCTTTACAACATCAACCTGTACATTTGTCACCAAATATCTACTAAATCCTCACTGACTACTTCTAGTTCCTACTCAGGCAAACCTCCTCGCCAGTACCCAGATTTGCTAATTCCACATTCAGATAGGAACTTCTGATAGTCAATTTCCAGTTTAGTGTAAGCTTGAGAAATCTTTTCAGATTGGAAATGTTCTTCATTGTCGGAAAACAGCTGTCAAAAACGTGTAAATACGATTTAAACAAACATGGTAAAACCGACTGTGTTCGAGAAGAAACCCAATCTTAAAAAAAAAAATGCTTTCGATGTGATTAAGAATCATGCCCTGTCACATACTTACATCAATATCTTGTCTTGAATGATCAGTGTCTGGTACATCAGGATCCCTTAAGTCGCTCAGGGCTAATTTCCATCTACTTTTAGACCCATGGTTGTCGATGCTGGGTTCATTCATAGCTTGAAGTTTCCCATCACCAACATTTCTATTGAGAAAAGCATCCATGATGCACCTAATGCAAAAGGCTAACAAGGGAACCAGAACTAGGAAACAGCCAGTTGTTTTAGCCTGATGATATTGACAATTTGGTTGAGGTTGCTACTTAGTTTCCAAAAAGCAATGAAAGCTAATGTTGAAGACCATGGAAAATATGAAAAAAAGGGCTTACATATGGCAATTGATGTGATGATAGCATTGAAAGCATTTTCTGGTTCAAGTGTCTACTATAGAAATCCAAATGCTGCCGTGTTCCAGACAAATTTATTCGAGCTACTGGTAATCTAATCTTCGCTGCTGGATACTGGTAAGAAGCATGAGCAACATATATAATTTCAGATTTCAAGAAAGAATGGGAAATAGTCGGTAAAGATGACAAAAAGTAAGTTCATCAATCTTTACTTTCATTACCCGTCATTATCCTTTCCTTTTTCTTTTTTCTTTTTAATTTTTTGGTGCAGTGAGGAGGGGTGGAGGTGGACAAATTGATGGGATGGGCGTAAGCCACAATACCACATCTCAAATCGAGCAGGGTGAACTCGGCTAACCTGGCCGACGCCCAACACAAATCAATGTATTTCAAAAATTGGAAACAACACCAAGTAGGATACATCTCATTCTTACGAGTCAAATTATGTTATATAAGCATCTAAACATTAATCAATGCATCAAAGGTAACGTCTTTCGGAATGACTTTCTTGAGATTCCGGTAGCATTCTAACCGCCTCCAAAGTGTCTCTCCGGTTTCTCTTCCATCAAATTGCGTCTACATAAGCCTATGGGAGCAGCTGCAAATTTTTTCTTGTTGGAGCCAATAATTGTTAAAAGACTCACAAGCGTTTCTTGTCTGAATGAGATATCAAAATATCAACGAGAAAACCTCACACATAGCTGTAGCTACACATCCTTTTTATAGCTAGTAGAATACTCATTATTCATAATGTAAACACTTAGCCATGAAAGTGAAACTAAACTGGAAATTTGTTAAATTGAATGAGTGTTTAAATCACAATCAAGCCCATAGTTTAGAGAACAACAGCAGTTGATCAATCAATTAAAAAAATGAGTAGAGAACCCTCACCATTGGCTTGCATTCTCCAGAAGAGGAAGGAATGTTGAGATGTTTCCCTTGAAGAATAAGGTCATCATCAAGAATATCCCTATTAGCAGCAGCAATTTCATCAATGGGCACCCCATACAGCTTTGAGATTGTACTCAAATTTTCACCTCTACCATTACCGAATCGTCAAGAACCATAATCAAACAAAATACCATCATTCTTTACTAAAATGAAACTAAAGAAAGATTATTGAAATTCTGAAGAAAACCCAAAATGAAAGAATAATTGGTTTTCTCATCAGAAAGCTTACTCTTTCACGACATGAACAGAGATTTTCTTGAATTGGCGTCGGCCCTTTGCAGAAAGCTCCTGAATCTGGCATTTCCATCTCTGCAAAGACAAAACCCAGAGGCTATTTTACTCTGTAACTTTTACTTTGTTGGAGATGAGGAGAGAAGAAGTACCACAGCAAGAACTGGGAAGTGTTTGTGAATGGAAATTGCGACGAAAAGGGATGTCGAGGAAGCTGGAAGATGGGGTTGACTCAGCTTCAGTTCCATACAGAATCAGCGAATCACCATAAACCATTAACGCACGCTCTGATTAATTCCATTCACAATATCTCTTCTCTACCGGGCACTTGGATTGAACTACAATGCCGAGTGGTTGTTATCACTATTTTCTTAGTTAAACAAATGAGTGAAATGACCCTATGTTTTTCAAAATTGTACTCTTTCCCAATCTATTCAGGAATATCTTTCAAATGCCCTTACCTCCATTTTTTCTTTATTTTTTTGTTTAATATACTTTTTAACTTATAGAATAGTAGCCAAAAATCTTGTGCTCAGATGACATGTAGTGACCTCCAGTCTTAGTGGATGCGTAATTTTTTATTTTTTAAAAAGGTTCTAATAGTCCGAATTAGTACCACAGTCAAAAACTTGAATCTACACAGATGTATAGACCATGAATAAAATATACATTATTTGTGTATAAAAACATATTATTTGAGTATCCCATGGCGCAATCTTCAAAACTGCCCCCCCCTCCCCCCCCCCCCCCCCCCGGTGTGGACGAGATCATTGAAAAGGATAGAATGTGCACACTTTGGATGCGTAGAGGCCATAGCTAGATGCCCCGGGGTCCCCCCACCCCCTGATAAAAAAAAATTATTTAAATACTTTGTATATTATTTTATACACTATTAAATAATATATTTTTTGTACATATATAATATACTTTTAATCTATTTTATTTATGGTCCAAACAGTTGTATAGACCATGATCTAAAAAAAAAAAAATTAAGTCCGCACCCATTGTACTACATGAAATATAACATGATTTGGTATCAAAATGTTCTATATTGGTGATAGATTTTGGATCAATACTTCAATATGGTTAGAATATATTCTACCAAACCATCACTTTGGAAACAATTAAGTATGATTTGGAAAGTAAACGAGCACATGAAAGAGCATAATTTCCACATAACATACTAATTATTACCCAAAATAAAATAAAAACACAAACCCAATAATATAATTTTAATTATTCCCACAATTTCTTTCTCACGTAGACAACATATTAGATATTATTACTATGGAGACGATTCTTGAACACTGAATCCAGTACGAGTAGGGGTAAGATTGGCAGGGTGTGGAGGCCTAGCATCAGCATCGCCGGCGCCGTCGTCTTCGGCGTCGCAATATCCACGCAGAACGTCGCTCTCTTCGGCCGTAAAGCCGAGGGAGCCAAACACGGCGGGCCAACACTTGTGCCCGACGATCCTTATCGCGCGGCAACAGCTGGGGCCAAGATAAGCCTCCCCGTTCATGAAGAACAGAATCACCTCTCCCGTGCATGATTGCAGCTGGAACAGCGAGTCCCAGCACTCCGAAACCTCGTCTCCCTCGCCCTCTAGCTTTAGCCTGGTGAGGAGACTGGATTTCGCGCTCAAAGGTCGAGCCATGGCGGCCGTGGAAGCTACGGAAAGGAGTAGGAGAGCTTTGAGAATGAGGTCTGAAGTGGTAGCCATGGCGGATCGGAGTAAAGTTTGGGTTTAATTATATTTGTTAACGTGATCCTCAGCTCGATGGATCGGAGATTATTTATATACAAGAACAAGGCCGGCAAGGAAGATGATGATGGAGGTGTATAATTAATGGGAAAACAAAAAGATTTGTAACTTACTTGCGAATGATTAGATGTTAAGTGCATTATTCATTTCAATTAAATACCTAGCTAGTGCAAGTAGAGATGTCGTCAACCGATTTAGTCCGCTCAGCTTCACACTACCTTAGCTTGTCTAAGTTGTTGGATTTATCAGTACACACTTATCATGCATGTTCAGTTCAATTTTTTTTTTTTTTTTTCCTAATCCTAAAGTACCAGGCTATCAAGCTTATGACAAATTATACTATAAATCATGATCTACATTGCAACATGACACAAAAAAAATAAACTTTCCATATATATATATATTAAAAATGAATCTTGGAGGGGTCCCACCTTCCCCCGTCCCCCTCTTTTATATATATGTATATATATAAGTAAATAATATAAATACCATTTAATTGTAGTTACAATAGCTTGGTTTGTAAGCTTCATAGTTGGTATGTTATTAGAGGTCAATGAGTCAATTCGATCTTTTTTATGACATATTTTAAAGTTTTCCCTTAGGGGCGTTTGTCAAATTATATAACATAACGAAGGAGATATGAGTTTTACAATGTCACATTCACATGTTTGATTCAAGTTATCTTTAAGGGCTCGTTTACTTCATTTCTTTGTTTCTTCATTTTTCCAGTTTTCCGTCTCCATTCCTCAAGTTTTTCATTTTTCCACTTTTCTAATTTTCATTCCACATTCTCCAATTTTTCATTTCTATAATTTTCTAAGACATTTAAGAAATAAAAGACTTCTTCCTATTTTTTAGGATCAGTCTTCCCTTTCAGACCCCTAATCCTCCTTTGTAGCTGCCATGATCCCATGTTGTAGCTATTTCCATGGCTAAGCAACTAAAGTTTGTTGAGCTACTGCAGTATAAATACATTGTAGATATACTTCATTGGATATATACAACAAACATTGCTTTCTTCCCCACATCTGAGCATATAATGCAGGTTCTGTGTTCTGGTCGAAAGCAGCCGGGGTTTAACAACACGACATAGGCTTTGTATCCATCTACAAAATATCCTTTCCATTTAGACAGTCATTGTTCCATCTAAGGGAAGAAAATAATATAATAAAGGGTAAATAAGGGAAATCATTAAAAAAAAATACTAAAATCAAATAATATGAACCATTCATTTTAAGAAACAATTACCACCAACATTTTTTTTATTCCAGTTAACGGTCTAACATTATTGACTCTTATTAGAATTGTAGATAATGGGGAATATACCCCGGGTTCAGACTCCTCGTACGCTCCGTGCTCCGTACTCAGATCGGGGTCAAACGATTTGGGTCCCGATCCACGGGTCAAGGTCAACCCGTCAACCCTTGACCCTATAAATAGGGCCTAAGCCCTCAAAGCTAGGGGATTCCATTCTCTCAACGCTCTCTCTATGCATTGTTCTCTCCCTTCTCTCTAAAGCAACATACAAGAACTCATATGAATAAAAGAGATTGCTTTGTTTTACATCTCCTTGTCCATTATATTGTTCATACACATACGTACGTACATAAAAAAAAAAAAAAAAATATATATATATATATATATATATATATATATATATATATATATATATGTATATATAACCGTTGTTACTTTTGCGATATATATATTTTTATGTTGTGTTATTATACATATTATGTTGGTGATAACGAACCAAAATCGATTCAATATTCCTAAAATAATATTTATATATATACACACAAAATATATATAAAATATTATTGAATATATATCCGAAATATATATATACACACAAATATATATATATAACGGAACCAACGGTTATATATACATATATATCTACGAAAAAGATAAACCAATATATATATCAACCGAAATTGGGACTAATAATCCACAGATTATAAATCCAAACCACAACTAAATCAAAGAGATAGAAGGATTTTTGCTTAGAAGCATAATCCAAAACCGAAATAAAGAAAGATGGCTCGTGTATGGGTAAGGGTTTTTAGCGTGAGTCAAGAGACCACTCTTTCCTTAAAACCTTATTTGCCACCTCCCAAAAGTGTTAGGAGCGTCGCGGCCTAGGTTTCCCAGGATAAAACACGCTACGGTTCGACGTTTAAGCACCCAAACAAACGAACCCAGCGAACTAGAGCAAAGCCTTGAACACAGTTAGGCTTAAGAAAGGAGTATGTAGAAGCAGAAGTATTTTGAAGCTTGAAAACAAAATTTTGTGTAGAGCTCTTGTGCTTGTTCTTGTTGTGTAAAGCTTCTGCCTTCTACCCCTTCTTATATAGGGGAGGAGTACTTAATAGCATTCATCATGGCATTAATTACACGTTGTGTAACATCTGAAACAGCAACCCCATTAACAGAATTAAATTCAAAATTCATAATAGCATTCATCATGGCATTAATTACACGTTGTGTAACATCTGAAACAGCAACCCCATTAACAGAATTAAATTCAAAATTCAAAACTGGAGTTAATGGACTATTGTCACATTGCTGCGTTCTGTTTCGGTCTGGTCGAAACTATCCAGGTTTCGGCCTCCCAAGACCGAAACCATGGTTCAGGCCGAGCTCGTCTCGCCCAAGTGGCTAGTGTGTTGGAAAGCTGATACCGAAAGTTGGTTACACCCAAGTGGCTAGTGGCTAGTGTGTTGGAAAGCTGATACCGAAAGTTGGCATAACCAGCCAATTTCCGGACGACATTCGTGCCCGTAAGTGCCGGCGCACACGAGCTCGGGCTTGAAACCCCCACCGCCCCCCCCCCCGCGCGAGAGAGCCTCTATGCTATACAATTCTACAAGCTCCAAAAGAGCACTTGTATAAAATGGGGGTCAAATCCTCTTTCCAAACCAATGTGGGACAAAGCTCACTTTTCCCTTCATTTTTCCAACTCAATGGGTCTACTTTGAGAATCAATATCTCATTCACCCATTATCCGTTTTGAGCGTACAATATATCAATCTCTTCGTCTCACTACGAAGAACCCGAATCCACTTTGACCCGATCCAAATCGGAAGTGGACCCCACTGATAATTGTACCACAAAATAGCCACTTAAAATGCGATCTTAATGCTATTTTTCCAACATATTATATGTAATTATTTTTGTAAGTATATATATTATTTTATTTCTTATATGTCATGCTAGCTTATAAAGTAATTTTGTTTCTCAAGTTCAATCTATTAGTTAATTATTTTTAAATCGTATATACTTATATATGTTACGATTGTCTTATTTATTTATTTTAATTTTGAAGTTATAAAATACATAAACATATATTAAATGTATAAAGTACAAAAAAAATATTATAACATAAAAGATAACACCTAAACTAAACATGTCTATATTACATACCTCAGTTTTAACCAAACACAAGAATCTAACATTCACAGTAATTTAACATTCCCAACAATCTCTTTCAAAAAAAAAAAAAAAAAATCATTCCCAACAATCTAGCATTCCCTAAGGTACTAATCTAACATTCTATGAACTAAACGCCCCCTTACAGTTTAGAAAATAAAATCTTAATTTGTGATATTTATTTATAATTTTAAAATTTATTTATAGTTGAGAAATTTAATACTTATATTTATAACATGTGGTATTCTGTTAGCTTTTATAATGAATTATGAATTGTGAAAATTATTTAACTTGATTAATTAATTTATATAAAATATATTTTGTAATTCAATTATGAATAAATAATTTAAGGTATACTTTTATATATATATATATATATATATATATATATATATATATATATATATAGTCATTGTAATATAGAAGTTTTTATTATGCGTCATCGTATTCAAATTACTCTAGAAAATTTTGAAATTGATTTTGCTAAAAGAAAAAGTACTTATAAAAATCATATAAATGTAGAAGATGCATGTGTGATTTATAATATATTTTCTATTCAAACTATTTTATCCAATTAATTATATTTCATGTTTTGTAATTAATATTTTATTATCACATTTTGAAGTTTTTAATTTTTTGCCTCCAATAAAAAATATTTTTAGATCTACATATGTTTTTAATTTTTATTTATGTTTAAATAAATTTTTCTTAATAATTAATTTATTATTTATTAGGCCAGTTGTCTCATCCAATTGAGATGTCTACAATTCAACGAGGAGATTAGTAATTGTGTCCAACGGTAGAAATCCTGGGCTACACAAAAAATTGATAACAATGTAATTGTTTGTATGCTTATTTAATTTTAAATTGTTTACTCATTTTATAAACTATAATTATTTATTTATAAAGGAATTTCATGCGGTTATTTATTATTTTGCATTTAGGAAAATGCATAATTTTTTTTTCATAATTATGACTATGTATGTAAAATTATAAAAAACTTGTGAATCTTATTAAGTTTTTTTTTTTTTTTTTTTTGAAAGTTACTGGCTCTATTACATTGTAGTATCTGTTCATATACTTTCTCAACCTATTGAAACACAAAGAACCAATAACGCCTCCACTGAGGCTCGAACTTATAATCTTCCAAATGGAAGTCCAACCCGGATACCATTGGACCACATAGTCCTGGTATCTTATTAAGTTAATTATTTGATATCAGTATTTTTTCTTTTTTGTAATTTAAATTTTAGATATAAAAATATATATGTTAATTTTAATGATAAGATTTATTTTTCTCTCCATACTTCAAACCTATAAAATGATAGAATCGGGTCTAAAAATTCGTAAGATGTCTCACAAGAGAATCACTCTTTAAAATGATGAAAGAGCTCAATAATCCACCTATTGTGTATTCGAGTCAACGAGTCCTACTACACGCACGCTGGGCACTTTCTTTTCTTTCTCTCTTTCCTTTTTTTTTTTTTTTTTTTTTTTTTTTTTTTTTTTTGTTTTTTGTTTTCCTCAAAATGATATTTAGGGTGAGTTTGGTTCGCACATGGGAATTAGAATCGGACTGAAAATCAAATACTTAGTAA